GGAGTTGTGGGTATGCTTTTACCAGTGGGGGAACTCTGGACTCTTGGTGTTGTAATTTGTGTAAACCTGTTTGTTGAAGAAACTGAAGGTGTGGCAGAATGCATTGTGGAAGTTGTTGTTGATATCATTGTGCTTGTGGAAGGAATAAGGCTTGTTGATGTCTTAACTGGGGTTGCAGGCATGCTGGTTGAAAAAGTTGGTGAAGTTGTACCAGTAGAAATTGTTGTTGATGTGTCTGTGGATGTTCCTGTAAAAGTGGAGGAACTTTGGACCACTGATGTTGTACTTGGTGGTATGTGCATGCTTGTTGAGGACACTGTTGTAGCTACTGTACTTAACGACTGTGTTGTGATGTTGACACAGTTTTCATCACAACAGAATGCTCTAATTTCATATTCATAACACTGCTGTGCAAGGCCTTGGTCTTTGTTTTGGCAAACTAGTCCATCTTTCATATTACATTTCACAACCTGTCCAAGCTGTGAAAGAGGAACTCCAGGATAACGTTTTGCACGACATTGTACTTCCTTTAGTGCTGAGCATATGGTAGGATAGGTGTCAGTTAATCTTTTAATAGGCACTACTTCACCACCATCAGGACCTGTTGTTGGGCCCCCAGAGGCATTCCAAGCAGACCAATGGCAAATACATCCAGGGGTAGGAGTAAGGGTGCTTGTTTTCAATGTTGTGGATGTTGGAGAGGTTGTTGATGGAGCTGTAGATGTTTTTGTTGTTGGAGTTGTAGTTATGCCTGTCATACTGGAGGAATTCTGAACTGAAGTTGTTTTAGTCAGTGGTGTAGTCATGCCATTTGAAAATGATGGTGAAGGTGTTGTCACTGATGATGGAGTTGTGGATATACTTTTACCAGTGGGGGAACTCTGGACTGGTGGTGTAACATTTTGTGTAAATCTGCTTGTTGATGAAAGTGAAGGTGTAGCAGAAAAAATTGTGGAAGTCGTTGCTGATATGCTTGTGTTTGTTGAAGAAATAAGGCTTGTTGATATCTTCATTGGTGTTGTAGGCATGGTGGTTGGAAAAGTTGGTGAATGTGTACCAGTAGAAATTGTTGTTGATATGTCTGTGTATATACTTGTAACGGTGGAGGAACTTTGGACTATTGATGTTGTACTTGGTGGTATGTGCATGCTTGTTGAGGACACTGTTGTAGCTACTGTACTTAACGACTGTGTTGTGATGTTGACACAGTTTTCATCACAACAGAATGCTCTAATTTCATATTCATAACACTGCTGTGCAAGGCCTTGGTCTTTGTTTTGGCAAACTAGTCCATCTTTCATATTACATTTCACAACCTGTCCAAGCTGTGAAAGAGGAACTCCAGGATAACGTTTTGCACGACATTGTACTTCCTTTAGTGCTGAGCATATGGTAGGATAGGTGTCAGTTAATCTTTTAATAGGCACTACTTCACCACCATCAGGACCTGTTGTTGGGCCCCCAGAGGCATTCCAAGCAGACCAATGGCAAATACATCCAGGGGTAGGAGTAAGGGTGGTTGTTTTCATTGTTGTGGATTTTGGAGAAAATGCCGAGGCAGTTGTACTAAATGCTATTGTTGACAGAGATGTTGATTTAACTGTAACAGTGGAGGAGGTTTGGACTGTTGGTGGTATAGGCATGCTAGTTGACAAACTTGGAGAAGGAGTTGAAGTGGATGTTGTAGTTGGTTTTGGAGTTGTGGATATGCTTGTAGTAGTGGTAGATGTAGTGAAAGAAAATACCGTCTTTGTTGGCCAAGATTCTGTAGTGTATTTGGCTGTCATTCCTGACAAAGTTGTCTCTGCAACAAAATATTAAAAATGTTATTTCTTATTGCTAATAGATTTTTCATAAAACATAGACATTTGATTAAACAAACAAAATCAAATAATTACACTTTACAGTACATTAACAATTATTGAGCCATTTGCTGCAACAAATTGCACTACCCAATTATAGACAACAATTTAATATGTGTGAAATGTCAACATTTCGCCACCTTGGAATTATAAGGCTCTATCTGCATTCTGAGATTGACAAAAAACATCACATAAAATGTAAATAAATTGTCACAGAATGAGAATATGTGAATAACTCACTTTTGACAAAAATTTCAGATAGAACCTTATAATTTCAAGGCGGCGATTTATGGGAATATATAGAAAAAAGCAGATCTTTTATTTTTCACTGTCAAATATCACTGATAACTAGTAATCATCATGAGCATTAAACATCACAAACTTTTTTTCAGAAACCAGGAAGTTACAGGTTATATACAATCCTAACA